TAGGATGTGTGGGACCATACTTCTTTTACATTTCTCTTGTGTGTTGGCTTGCCAAATCCTCAGCTTGTACAAACTGGCATAATTCCACTGAAATCAATAAAAGCATGTTGACTAAAACAAGCACAGAATCTGAATTAATTAGTTCGCAGACCATGATCCACATGAACTTCTGGAACTCTGAACAATCTCCTACAATTGTTTTGGGCATGTACACAGATCTTCCTGACAAGGTTACAAAGATTTCTTTTAAGATATTCTGTAGGCCACACCGCCTGTTGTCTTTAAAGCACTGTCTTTTTTTTCTTGCTGTCTTCTACAGTTACATCCTGAATGTCTGTCTGAAAGTTCTTTCAGTTTGTAGCCTCCCTATTCTGCAGGGCAGTGGACGCAGTAATTTCATGTCTGTCAGTGTGGTAACCAGCAGCATATCGATATTGAAACAGTGAACTGTATAGCATTTAAATGTAAATCTTACATCATGAACTCTTGGCTTATCATGGCTCATTGCTTTGAGGCAAATGCAGTGATTAGCATGGGGCGAACTTTATGATAATTAGGAATGTTTTACACATCAGATGGTGATGTTGACTTTTGAGGGCAACCACCTGGACTCAGCTCTTTATAGCTAAAATTAATACTTTTGTATCTTTTTTTTTTTTTGTTTCAGTGTTTCAAAATGGCTATGAGAAATTATTTTAACTGTTTAATCACTAAATAATGGATCCATGCAATCAATTAGCTTAATAGCATGATTATTGGATAACTTGCCATTACCCTAGGTGATACTGTAGTTTAGATAAACTATAATATACATAAATTATTCGTCTTGAGTGTGAAATGAAACTTCCACTATCTTAAGGGGCAGTGAATGTTACTTTCTGGCTATCTTGCCCTTTGCCTGACCTGGTATCTGAACCTTTTGAACACTGGTATGCTACAATTGTGGTATCTGGTCCCTTTTAGAGTTGTTTTTCACTATAAAGACCTCATGTGACATTTCTGATAGAAATTCATGACAACTAAAAAATCCAAAAAGCACCAAACAAAACACCCACAATTTTGCAAACTTCAGATAGGTTAAAGTAGTGTTGTTAAAACATTGTCAAAAATTTTAACGCTTGCTTGGAAGAAGCTGTATCTCTCAAAAGAAAACCAGGAAAGGTCAAAATATGTATCATGGGCGTACATGCTAGCTGCAGAGCTTGGGGTCTTATTTCTGATTTACTGTGAAATATAGACAAAGTTTCCATTGTAATTCATGGCTTGTGTGGATTAGTTTCTACACCTGAATTTTTCCTTAAATTTTTGGTATTTCTTCAGATCCAAAGCTAGGAGGAGGAGAATAGTTTTTACTCTAGTGGCAATGTGAAGGCAGTGTCATAACCAGCAGATGTAGAAACTGGGCAACTCTATCAGTTTTTTGATAAGAGCCATATTTGGAAGCTGTTCAGTTTGAATACTTGCTCAGTTTCCTCCTCAGATGTGTACTTCCTAAACTGAAATATAAACCTTATCTTACATGTATTTGTCAGGCATATTTATGTATTTAATTTGTAACTACTGTTTGTTATGAAGTGAAGGCTCTAACATGACTATGTAAAATACTGATCTTGTAAATACACTTTGGATGCAGACAGGAGGGGACAATTAACCCTTATGCTTACTAGATGAACAAAGAATGAGGATGCAATAATGTAAAATGGTGCTATTGTTTTACTACTAATATATTTCTTATTGGACAACAGTGAAATTCTGTAATTGCATTCCAGAAATTCTGATTGCTTAAATTATACAACAGTATGAGCGGTATATCCCAACAGTGGCAAATGGCAAATGTTTTAATGGTCCTATTATGTATATGCACCTTGATGATACACCTCATTTATATATGAGAAGGAATGTCTTTTAACTTCATGAAAAAACTTATTGGGTTTGTATTTATTCTTTCTATTGCCCCTTTTGCAGTTTGTACTTTTAAAATTAGACTAATGCATGGGAAATGAAATACGGTGGCAAGTTTAAATATTTTTTACTAAATCATAATAGGCTTCTGCTTGTATTCAAAGTTCGTTCTTAATGCTCTACACTGCCATGGTTTCTAAGTGTCAAAAACTTAGTGATTTGGGGGAGGGGACAGGAGGAGCTATATTGAAAAAAAATCTCAAAGTTCAAAAAAATTAAAAGTGTTGCATTTCAAGGGGATGAAATAATCTGTTTCAAACTGGGAAAGAACTTGTGGACACATATATCTATGGAATAATGTTAGATAATTTTAAATGTGTTAACTGTGTGTGCCATTACAAATGCTATTTTTGGCTGAAAAGGGTCAGTGATTGCTTGTAAAATAAGAAGACATCAGACTATTTCAGTTAGCCTTGGCTGGGCTGTTTGGAACGCGGTCTGCATTTCTGGCACTTGCACTTAAAGAAGGATGCACAGGAAGATAAAAAAATGACAAAATTATAAATAACTATTATAAATTATTATAAATAAAAGAAAGGGCAAGATATAAAAATTAATCTAGAGTGGGTGTCACCATGCAAGTGCATTAAAAAAAAATTACTTTTCATTGTAGCTCTAGCAAGTAACCAAGATAAATATCAAAAGAGAAGAAAAAGGGGGCAGTCAGCAAGAAAAGCGTGGTGTTTGCATTAGGGAAAAGTCAGGATTACAGGATCACACCCCCCCACCCCACCCCCCACGAAAGACACATGATTGGAGTTCAAGGGGATCTAGATACTGCTTCCAGTTGAACTATACACTACTTCTATATTTAACTCTTTAACTTACTCTATGCCACTTCACCATCTGTAAAGCAAGAGATGTTAGTCTGGTGGTGTTAGGTCGTGCCAAAAAGCAAGCCTAACATATTCGTCTTACCATGGTCCTGAATATCACAGACTATTTCTATCGTAGGAATTCTTTGACTTGTATTTTTAGAGGTAAAAGCAAGTGTCTTTCTGTACTTGTTAAACAGAAGTTATAGACTTAATGCAGACACTGTTAGATATTTTGACTCACCTTATTACAGAAGTCAGGAAAAAAACCCAACAACTCCAAACCTTGTAACAAGCCCTTAGTACCACCTCTGCTGTCTTCAAGCACGGTATTGTGTGCACTGGGGAACAGTAACATCTCTCACGTATGGAAAGTATATTCCTTCTTCTCTGCTGCTGTAAAACTAGTGCTCCTATTATGTCAAGGTCCATTGCATTTACTGCAGCTTTGATATGCTTGACCTAAAAATATTGCTGTAAGTGACTTATTTACAATGACACTGAGGAGCAATTTTCTAGACTGTCTCTATGGCCTGTGGGCATTGCACTGAGTACATATGTATCATATTAACCAAAACCCATGAAAATTACCATGAAACCTTTCCACAGTATTTCACAGCTACCGTTAACAAAATGGGATTCTTCTGTGGCTTTACAACATAAGATGTGTGTGAGCCAGCATCTTTTGTGGGGTGTGGAATAGCGGTATTGTTTTGTCAGTGAACATTCTGTAAATTACCAGTCTGTAGAAGTTGACTTTTAGTTAAATTGTATGAAGTATTATATATCTGTATGCTAAGAAGACTTTTCTCTCTATATGAAAACATTTCACTAAAAATCACTGATAAATTTAATGCTAGGAACCATTGAGGGAGACCATTGCTGCAGTCTGTTCTTCAGAAGCCAGTAAAAACTTGCAGACCAGGTGAAAATATTTGTTTTGTGTTTGTAATGGGTGTGAACTAGTTATCTCTACCTAGATCAATGCTGGCTGAAATTATTGCACCCTATTCTAGTAGGGTATGAGTTGTTGCTATTTAATATTTAGTGAGCATGTGAACAAAAATTATGACAGAAATCACAGAAAAAAACATGTATTTTGAGGAAAAGTACAGCCTTAGGGAGGGATGTAACTTTGTCCTCATAATGGTAATCATTCAGACATCAGTTAGCATAGAAAACATATATACAGACACCATTCATGTTTCAGGACACTGGTTCTTTCCAGTGTTGCCAAATTACAGAATCTTCTACTTTAGTAAGTATCTTCTCTGTTAAAAATACATAAAACAACTACTACAAGCTAGCATTAATAAATGTGTTACAAAAACAAGACCTGATTTTTAGGTTTTAATAAGGAACCTTGATATGTATTGTTGCAAGAACATACTAGCTACAACTTAATTTGAAAGTTTCTCCTCCTAGATAGAATATACACCTTTGAGTCCTGCTTTTAGTATGATCTCTATCTATCTACAATATGTAAGTTAGTAGTAAGTCAAGTTCCTATTTTTGTAGGAATGAGTCAACTTAAAGATACAGGCATATCTCTGAACAGTGTTGCCGAGAAGTCATATATCCATTGCAAACCCTTCCTTTTAATACTCTGCTGTCTCTGACCACAATAGTATTCAGTGGTCAATAAAACCTGTGGATTCTTCTCTAGTAAATATTGCAATGAAAAAATATAATCTTCCCAAACATTACTTTTAAATAATGTCCAAACAATTTCAGGATTTAATTTGTTAGTGTGGTTATGCCTTTGAGGAGCAGATTTTTTTTTTTTTTTCCATATAAATAGCAGTCTTGCTTAGGATTGACAACTGATCATTCGTGATTGAAATATATTTTTATCATATAAGTAGACTGGTAACACAAAGTTCAAGAAGCAACTACACAGGCTTCCTCCCATGATTGTATCCTGTTTAGTGCTACATGGTGAAACATGGATAAAACAAGCAAGCACAGTACACAAGACAACTAACTGATACACTCAGGAAACCTTGTAATTATACAGACTAAAGTATTGTTAATAGACCCCCCATTATGAGGAGGAACAATACTAATGCTGTGTGATTACCTAACTTTTAGTTGCAGAATATCTGAGTTCCGCTGTCTAAAGGCCGAACTTACCTTGGATGACTGTGATGTGAGAAATGTAGACTGGTCCTTCTGTGTGTCTGACCAGGTTAATAGAGTTGTAAGGAAATAAGGAGAAAGTTGTGAGGTTTATTTACATTTTTATTTTCTCATTACTATCAGCAATACCAAGAATGTGACATAGGTACCCAAAGTTTGCAATAATTTTACAATTCAACTATTGTTCCATTATTATTTCTGAATATACATTTCTCTGTCATCTTTCAGATACCTAAAAAAAGGCAAATGTAATAGTATTTGCTGTCTAATAGTATTTATGTAGGTGCTTAAGATCAATTTCATGTAAAATTAATCTTTTATTTGATAGAACATTTTACCTGAATCTCTGAACTCTGGCTCCATTTGTTTTTCCCATGACAAGTATAGAAGACATTTCAGAACTATTCCACAACACCTACTTAAAATAAGATTTAAATATTCTTTCCTCTTATGTTCAGAGTCCTTAGGAGTGGATATGCACAACATTGCCTGTATTGTTATTTATTTCCATATACATACTGAATAATAATTTTTGTTTTCAATGATGATGTACCCTGGAAGGACAATATTCCAGAAAGGCAGTGATTTATTTTATTTTTTTTTTCTAGTCAGCTGAGTTAAAGACAAACAAGCAAGCAAAAAGTGAATATCCCCAAGTATTTCTTTGACCAGAAAAAAAGTAGCCTGTAAGAAGTGTTTGCTTCTCACTACTGCTTTCAGAGCTGATGTTCCTCTCAATGGCAACTGTAAAATGTGGGGCCACAGTTGCATTCATTGTTCAGTGAGCTTGTCCACATAGTTAAACCCACCGACAGCAATGAATGTTGATTGTGACCTTTTTTGTAAAGCTTGGCAGGGTGGGGGAGAAACATCACGTGGTGGTTAGGTTGCTATCTTCGGTGTTAAGGCCTGAAAGCATGAAGTAAGGAGGAGGATGGTTAGCTGGAGGGTACAATCAACGGTCGATGGTTTTCACTTTAATTCCAAACTCACCGACAGCGTTGAATGTTCACTGAAGCAACCACTACAACAGAACTCCATTGACTTGACAGCATCCTCAAATGTCTGAAAGGAGGAGGGGGGGGGGAAATCAAATTTCACACAATCATTTTAATCATACAGTTGATGCAACTTCAATCATTTTTCTCTTACCGATACCATCACCCTTCTCTGCCCATCCTATTTCAGTTTTTGTGCAAGGAGCTGGCAGTTTTCCAAACTTCTTTCTATGAAAAGAAAATACATTTCACTTATTCAGGCTCTAACAATATAGGTTGGGGATCCAGACACAAGTGGCTTAATGTTGTCTGTTATTTCACGAAACTGAACTTCACAGCAAAACAAAACACAAGATCCCATATATGAACAGAGCTGGCTAAGAGACTTATGAATCAGTGTTGCCAATTACAGATTGCCTAATTGAGTACAAATGTCTTCTGCTGACATGGTTGAGTTGGATTAAACTTGCTTAGAATTGATGAAAACTACATTCTCCTTTAAGAAGGCTTAACTTCTCAATAACTGCCTTAGACAGCAGGCCATTTCTTTACAAATTGTCACACGTGCTGAACCTGTTATAGTTTCCAGTAGGAAAAAAGGTGAATGTGTATCAAAACTTGATAAATTAAGTTTCTTTTTATATGTTTTTTTAGGTGCCAACATGTTGTCCATATCATCACATCATAAAGTGCCTATTCTTAAAAATTTCCACAGTAGCACACTTTTTTCCCAATCTTCTCAGCTTTTCAACTCAAATTGCCCTTATTCTTAATATAAATAAATAAAAATTAAAAAAAAATATATATGCAGAGTTGCAATTTTCATGTTGCAGAGAAAGGGTTTTAGAGGCTGCATCAGAAAGCAAAATATGGTAACCTAGGAATTTTACCTCATTTGTGTTTGTGAGCAGTTCTCCTATAGAAGGTGGTCTTGCAGCTCAGTTGGTCAAAATTCTTTTTTGTTAGGTCCACTCAGCTTGCTGCACTGAAATCATGTGACTGACTCATTGGCTTCTATGCATTGTTGTTTGTTTATTTTATCCTTTGGTAAAAGATGTCATACCCTTTGTCTTCCATTTCTGATTAATTTAAAAATCTTTATAAATGTTGGGGGTTTTGTCAAATTTGGCTGTACTTGGATAAAGGGAATCAACATCAAAGACTGCATTTCATAAGTATTTTGTGAACAAAAACTATGACGAGCACTTTTTCCTAGATGTTTGTTTCAACTAATTGCTCTTCATGTAGAGGTATTTATTACATCATTTAACTCAACTGTATTTTTCTATCAAATATATCTAGAGTTATTAATATAGCCTATTGGAGAACTAGACAAGAATGGAATCAACTAATTTTCTCCTTTATGGTAGATTAGATGTGTTTTATTTAGAAAGGCCACTGTGATTATGACTATATCTGAAATCTAACCAATGTGGCTGTCAACTCCCCCCCTCCCCTTTTTTCTTTGCTGATACACCCAGCATGGGATTATTTGCTGCCAGTACTTTAGCTCTGAAGTTTTGGGCTATTTTTTCCTCCATTTATTTTTACTGGCTTTTCCACAGTTTAATTCCATGGGTATTAAGAAAAAAGTTCCTTACCCCAGCATGAGTGAAGAGAGACTCTCCAACTCAGTAGCCGTTTGTGCATCTGCATCTGTTCAACATTGTTCTAGCCAAATGAATAGACTTTATGGTTGCTCATATTTAATATCCACCCTATTATAAGCTTTCTTTCTGTACACCATTTCTTTCAGTACTTATTCCTGTGCTCTTATTCTCTGCTTTCATCTGTCACTTCATATTTCAATATGAGGTCTTGCCAGCCTGATACCTGGCAGTTAAAGATGGGGTGCGGGGCAAGGAGAGCACCGATGTAGAGCTTGCACCTGCGTGGATTGCATCTTAGAAGGAATTACTTTCACAAGTTGTTATTATTCCCTCTCCACCCCCCACAATGGAAAAACCTCAATATTTCCTTGGTTACCTATACTCTGTTGAAATGGGCTGAAACTTGTAAGTACAAAACCACAAAAAAATTTTCCTCAGCTCCAGCCCTGATTCCTGATGTATGCAGGTTATGCAGGGTAAAAGCGCTTTCATCTCTCGTCCTTTTTTTTTTTTTTTTCCCTTCAAATCCCAGTCTTAGCTAGCTGTTACAAATGCCAACTTTATTTTAAATTTTATTTCAGATCTGCAGGCTTATGTGAACATTCAGATTGGATGTATGGGTTTTTTTTATTTAAGGTTAGTAGGTCATAAATAAACCAAAGCACTTTCCTTGCTATGAGCAATAGGGTCATGGTGTACATGAAATATTGCTTTAAAAAATTGGAACCTAACATGAATTGACAGAGGTACATGAGGAAGTAGTACATTGTGTCACTGTAAAGGCCATAGGGATTTGGACTGCTAGAGCTGCCTGTCTTGGAAATAGATTAGGTATCTTCTCTGATGACCTGTACTTAATTTAAGTGACTGCCTTTGCCAGTCCTTCCAGAGGGCAACTGTGTGAAGTAGAGCATCTCATCTTCAGTCTTCAGTCCTTTTCTTCCTCTTGATGGTCTGACCTAAATTGAAGATATGGGTGTTGTGCTGCACAAACAGAGAATTACTTCAATGCTATGTGAACTTCGTCACTTCCAATTAGTTAGTTTTTCCATTTTTGACCTTGATATCTTGAGTCAAAAGATTCAACCTCAAATGTTGAATGTCATTATACTGGTTAATACTGGCAGCTGTTAGACAGTACACTCCTGTTTAACAGCTGCCTTGTATAAAAAAATTATACAAGCTCCCTCACCCTACTTAGAAATGGTGTCTGGAGCTGTGAAGTACTACTCTGCCCTGCTTATTGCCTCACCTCTTCCCTTCTTCCTTTTCCCTCTCCCACATAAATGCTAGACGAAATATAAATGATAAATGTCAGACAGGTCTGGCTTGTAGGCTACTTCAAATGGCTGGTTTAATACTTTTAGCAATCTTACTGCTTGTACAGCAGTGAGATTGCATAGGAACAAATAAAGTAAATACACAGATCTCAGGTTTGGGTGGTTTCTTATGATTTTAGTTAATTTCCCTAATGATGCATTAACATGGTCTATTCAGATTGTACACTGATTAAAATAGTATGGTAACATATTTATGTGGTAGATATTCTGCATGTCTTACAGCATCTGTTTTCTTTTGTTGGCATGGAATTGTTATTGGAAGGTGGAGTTAAGACTTTTTGTAGCCAAATATTCATTTGTAGAAAAGGAAGACCACAGAACAATAGTGATAATACTCATATTGCAAAGTTATCTCATGGATACAGTTGTTGGCTACTTCCACCTCCTGCTTGCTCTCCCACAGTCTGTCAACAGGCTTCCAGTTATACACTTGGGGACCGGAAGAAATACAATGCATGAATGTATTTTTAATAGTGTTGCAAAAGTGAATTCCAGTGGCAGTGTCTAAAAATGGCACTAAGATGCTTGGGATCAGATTCTCAACTAGTGTAAACTGACACAGCTCCATTGACGTCAGTGGCATCTGCGTTTACACCAGCTGGCACCTGGATGCTCATCTGGAAGTAGAATGATATGTTATCACTTCTTATCAACTTTTCTATTTTTTGTTGTGTGTTCATATTTTTTATTAAACCTTTTTCAAATGACAAATTTTCATGTCGTATTGGTGTTTTACCTGCAATAAATTAGCAGTAATACTAAATCTAAGTAAGTATTGACACTGCTCTGCTTCTACCAAAAGGAATTAAATTCAGCTGACTGTAGTTATTAGAGATTCAATTTAGTCTTGGATGACTTTGAGTTATATGCTGAAAGAAAAACTCTGTGCAGCTATCAAGAGGAAGTCCTTTTTCTGACAAAATGAAAAGTGTTTGTTTCTTCCATGGTATTAAAAACTGCAAGCACAGAATACAGTAACTTCCAATGTAATCTAAAACTCTCACTGTATTCTACAAACACCAACTGCAATAGTTTCTGCAGTGCCTTGGAGTATAGCATTGGCTCCTAATTACTAATGCAGTAATTCTAAGGCCAATGTTTTCTGAGAAATCCAACTAGACAATCACAATGTTTTCATGTTGCCTTCAACCTGTGGAAACATCCTTGCAAACCTCTCCTGGATAAAAGATGTTTTGAGGAGTATTTCACCATTTACTGGAGTACAGCCATCTCTGGAGAAAAGTAGCAGCTGCATAACATCTTGAAGCACTAGTGCATGCCAGCTTGAGACAGGAGGGAAAATTGTGATTCCCTCGTTTAAATTCTGCATTCTACAATGTTGCTTTTTTTGTAATTATATTATGAAGAACTCTAAATTTATGCAGAATCATCCTGGTTCTTGCTCATGAAATAAGGGGACAGTATCTTGGCATGCTAGAAAACACTTTTTGAAGTGAAATAATAACCACGAGATTTTTTTTTAAAACTAAATTAAAACTTGTTTGACATGCATAGCCATTACAGAGCAATCTGCAGTTCACTGAGTCTTATCAGAGTTCTGCTGGCCCAGAAACCAGGACACTTCCAGGTATGCTAGTTTGTGTGTTTGTAACATTTGACTAAGTTTTTAGTAAGTCTGCTGTGCTAAAATTGACTGTGCTCTTGAAATTAAGCCTGTCAGATAATATTACATGTCTACAACACAGACTGAGGTGGGATGCTGATTAGCCAAGCTAATTTAGGAACAGAACAAATTGAAGAGCAGCAATGATATTAGGTCAATCAAATATTTGATTGCACTTCCAGGAATAATTTAGTTGCAGAGTTCAAAACTATGCTTTGCCCCTTAGAATTTTACCTGATATGTATTTTGTTAAATTTTGCTATTAAAGACCCTGAAAAAACAAAATTTTATGCAAAAATATCCAAGGCAATATTCTCTTTTTGCTTACTACTTTAGATTTACTGTACCTCAATCAACATAAATTGTTACTCTTATCTAAAAAATCATAGTTGCATTCATGTGCTCTAAACAGACTTTTATATCTGACCTACTGAGCCCAACTCTGCAATTTATTACTTCATGTTGTTAGTCCTGTTTGAAATTGTAAGAGCTTTTCCAACGTACAGGATTGCGGCACTGGACCTATAGGCTTTGCTTTTTATTTGAACCCAAGAAATTGGTGAATAAATTCTAATACTGCCTGCAGTTTCCCAGCCTTTTGGATGACAATTCTCCACTCTTTGTTACTGGAACACATTACTATTTATGGAAGATATGCACATATTTCAGTGTCCATAAATCACATGCAAACATCTGTTCTTTAGATCAGTAGATGGAGTATGGTAACTGCTTTTTACATTAATATCCATGAAGTAATGCTCACCTACTGACATTATGATTAAACTTAAATATTTTAGCAAATATTTCAGTAATTTAACTTTCCAGGCAATGTAAGTCAAAACAGTAGAAACTGCAAACACAGTCTGGCATGGAGTTCTCTGTGGTCTGTACCCAAAAAATGTCAAATGGAAGTTGTGTGATAGAGGGGGTAAATATTAAGAGCAACATGATCAACTCGGCTAAAACACAAGACGTTCTGTTAGTAATTCTCTGTTCTCATTACTGCCTTTGAAGGGAATTTCTTACCCTCCCCCTTCTTGTGATAGCCTTCAATGGGCAATCTTTTCTCATCTGATGAATCTGGATTGTGTGTAGCAGTCTACATTTTGTCTTAGTAGTATGATCTATTTCCCATGTGATCCTGCAGGCAAGATTCTAAGGCCAATAACTGTGAAGCTGCACTCAGAAAACATATGGTACATGTGGAAACCAAGACTGCGTACAAGTTAAAATGTAAGATGTGGGAAAAACAATATTGCATGATAGGATGGGTGCTGGATGGAAAGGCAGGGGATAAGAGTTTTCTTATTCTGTCTGTCTTCAATCTCAGTGGTAGTATTTTTACATGAAGTGTTTTCAGCTACAAAGAGAAGAATCTTCAGGGTGTATCCTGTTTAGCATTTATGTCAAGCATTTATCTGGTTGTCATATGAACAGAGACTGGGGATTCAATGGTTGTTTTTCAACATCTCCTTTGTCATTGGATTTATTTTATGGGAATGGAGAATGTCATCATAGCAACTGAATTTTCATGGAATGAAACTATGTATAAAAATGGAAAGTAAAAATATTCTGTGTTTCTAGAAGTTATTGAATCCTCCTGTAGTCAATAAATTGCAGTTCTTTACCTGCACAAAGTGGGCTGATTACTTTTAACTTGCCTACTAATCCTCTTGGTTTTAAAAACCTCAAACTGCTTCAGAATGAATGGGGATCCCCCATTTTAGGATTTCTGCAGTATTTCAGTATACTTTTTATGTTGTCTTTTAGGTTCTTCACAGTGATTACATGAAATACATTCAGAAAAACATGCTGGGGGGCTTTTAAAGTATTTTGTTTTTTCAATTTTAAATTATTTTAGAAGTTATAGAAAAGGTGCTGTTTGAGTGCAAGTTAGCTTAGGGATTCTCCACGTGTCTCTATCTTGCTGCCAGAGCAGAGTGCAGTAACAACTGGCTTTAATATCCCATCCCCCTCTTCTTTCTGAGTCACCATAGGAATGAACTGTGAGAATTACCGAATTCAAATAATTATGGTCCTGCTGCACAAAGTTTCTTTTGATCAAGAGCAAGTCATTTGAACCCTAATGTTTAGTGGGTAATACTTACAGCCTCATAAAAGTGTAGTGATGGCTGATATCTCATAGTGCTTTGAACATGTGAAGTGCTATATAAACAATATAGGGCTATTGCACACAACTCAGGCTATTAGCATTTGAGGCACACTGCCCCGGGCCCTTAGAGGGGAAATCACATCTTCACTGGAAAAGAGGCACCTTTTTGAGTTCTGTCTGCTTCCAGATTAAGTACTGGGATCTTTCTAGGTAGCATGTAGATATGAAAAAGTATGTTTTTTCAAATACCATGCTTATTACACAGTACTGGATACTAACTAAAGGCAGACAGCATTCAGTTAGAACTGTGATTCTGAAAATGTAAGGATGGTAAATCATTGCCTGTTTGCATGATTTCCTTTGCTGTAATTGTATTTTGGCATTCTTGCATTTTTTCCTTTGTGAAATTTCTGCATGCAAATCATTGTTGCTAACATACCCAGTATATTTCATGTGTAATTTGAAACAGATGAGAGATGATGTTCCTAAAAATATCACCATACTTTACACAAGTTAGACCACATTTGCAATTTGAGAGTATGTTGAACACTCCATGGGTGTCTGAGTGTAAATGCTGGCGAAATCTTGTTCTTAAAATATCAATGCAAGTTAAGAAAATAGAGGGGCACTTGCTAAACAGCTGATGTAACATCTGTCTATTAGATCTGAAGGTACTGCTCAGATGGGAACAAAGTTTTCATAAGATTGGTAGAATTGCCTGATTTGCTTCATTTTGACTCTCCATCACACATTCTGTATGCTTTCATAAACAAAGGCTCTACTGCTTAGGACCCGCAAGATATGCCTATCTTGCAATCACTGCAATATGCAGTCTGGGGTAGTGGAAAGGCTCATGGCTATCTTCAGGAAGAAGAGGAAGTT